AACCCCTGCGGGATGTCTACCTGTCGGACCGTGAGGAGGGGAGTCGGGGGAACTACTCCCGTATTCCCTCCCCAACCCCCCGGCCTCAGGGCTCCCTTCCGGGAGCCCCTCGTCACCTGTGTACCGCGCCCTATTCCACGAAGAGAATCCAGGGCACGGTCCCCGACGAGGGTTACCCCCCGCCGGTTGGCCTCTGGTGTCTCCTGTCAAGGAGGGAGGGGACACTCCCCTCCTCACCCCCTCCCTGCTAGTCAGGGAGGGGAGGATTTGTAGGGGAGCGGGCCCGGCCCCACCGGGCCGCCGCTCCGCCCTGTCCCTACTTGTCCGGTCGCTCGGGGGGGAAGGCAGGGAAGGCGTCTTGCCGCCCCCTACTCCCCCCTTGCGACCGGTGGCGGGCCCGGGGCGGCCGAGGGGACTCCCGACCCTCGCGGGTCTGTGAGCCCCCCTCGGTCGGCGCTGCCCCGGGCCCGCTGTCGCGTCCCTCGTCCCCCTGGGGGCGTTGTCCGCCAGGGAGCTGCTCCCCGCAGCCCCGGTACGGTCTTCGCTCCCCCCCACTCGGCGGTCTCCTTCTGGGACATTACTGTCTCGCAGAAGGAGACCGCCGCTGTCCACGCCTCCTCGCTCCCGCACATGTCTTTGACCATGTGCGGGAGCGAGAGCTCCCCCTCTCGGCATCCCACCGCCCCGCAGAAGAAACGGCGCTCCCCGGCCCATGCTGGGCACGCGACCAGGGTGTGGTGCGCCGTGTCCTCCGGCGCGGGGCAGTGGTGGCATTGAGTGGACCTTCCTTATCCGATGCAGGTACCGACCGAAGCACCCGTGCCCTGTCAGCACCTGCGCCAGACGGAAGGATAGTCCACGTCCCCTCCTGCCTGTCAACTCGAACAGGCAGGGGCGGACATTCGCGGCCGTCGCTGGCACGGGACCCCGGGGGTCGGACAATAGGTCCGCCCACCTCTCCCGGGTCCGGGCCTCGGCCTGGAGCCTCAGACCCCTCAGGGCCCTGACCGACACTATTCCCTCCCTGCGGAGCTCCTTCACTCTCCAATATAGGAGGTGACGCTCCTCTGCGAGGAGCTCCACAGGGGGGACGCTGGCCAGGGTGGTCGCCGCCATGTACGACACGGTCCGGTACCCTCGAATCGCCCTGATTAGCACAGGCCGCAGGGCTTGCCGCAGTGCGTGCTTGCCGCCGCGGTAGGCCCCTAGCTGTGGCGCCCATATGGGCGCCCTGTACAGGGCGATCGAGAGCACCGCCGTGACGTACAGGCGGCGAGCTCTCCATCCTGGGCCCCCTTGGGTGCGCGTCAGGCTGGCCACCGCCAGTCCTGCCTTGCGCACCTTGGGGGCCAGTTCCCCAAAGTGGGGTCCGAGGCTCCACCGGCTGTCCAGCGTCAGGCCGAGATATCGCATCGTCGGCCCGACGCGGACGTGAACTCCATCTACGAGCACCCGGGTCCCCAGCGGCGCCCTTCGACCCCTGCCGTAAAAATACACGGCCTGGGTCTTATTGGGCACCACCTTGAGACCCAGGTCTCTGATGGTACTCACCACTGACTCCAATGCCGTCTCCGCGCGGAGGCGGGCTTCCCCCCAGGCTACCACTAACGTGTCGTCTGCGTAGCAGACGACGTGGCAACCGGGGGGAAGCGGAGTGCGCAGCACTCGGTCGAACGCGATGTTCCATAGCAGGGGGCCGAGAACCGACCCCTGCGGAACACCGCGCTCCATAGCACGCCGGCCTTGGACCCCGCTCTCCACCGGGAAGGCGAGGTCCCTGTCCCCGAAGTAGGCCGATAGGATTCGCCGGAGATAGACGGGCACCCCGTGGTGTTCGAGGGCCTGTCCAATCTCCGGCCAGGGCAGAGTGTTGAAAGCGTTCGTTATATCTAACGACACTGCCAACAACACCCCGCCCTCCTCCACGACCGCCCAGGTCAGGTCCCGGAAGCATCCAGTGTTGACCTTCCGGGCCTCGTACTGGCATTCGTGGAAGTCCGGCCCCTTCGAGGACAGGTGCTGAACGAGGCGGTCGGCAACGATGCGCTCCAGCATCTTGCCTGCCTCGTCCAGCAGGCATATCGGCCTGTAGGCCGACGCACTCCCGGGTGCTTTGCCCTCCTTGGGGAGGAGGACCAATCTGACCCTCTTCCACTCTGGGGGGAATACCCCATCCTTCAGACACCCGCTGAAAACCCTGCGTGTGGCTTCGGACAGGTTTCCCTCGCCAAAGGCGAGGGCCCAGGTCCGGCCAGGAATTCCGTCGGGGCCAGGGGCTTTCCCCTTGGTCCCGAGCCTTTTCCTGGCCGCAATGAGCTCCTCTGGACTCACCGCCAGACCCTCGTCCCAATCACCCTCCCCCAACGGGGGGTCGGAATCATGGGGGGCCCCCTTCTGCCCTCGGAAAGAGGGCATCCAGAAACCCCTCGAGGGTCTGGCGGTCTAACGTCTCCGTTGGTGGGGGCGCCCATGGGCGGATCTTCCCCATAACTCTTTTGTATGAGCGCCCCCACGGATCGTCGTCCAGGGAGCTCACCATCTGCTCCCAGGCCGCTCGCTTGGCCTCGACGATGGCGACATTGAGGGCTTTCCTGGCTCTTAGGTAGCCCTCTTTTGTCCTTGTGGCGTCCCCGCCTCGTCGCCGGGCCCGATAGTACGCACGTCTGGCGTGGACGGAGGAGTCTCGGAGGGCCTCCAGCGCCTCCGTCCACCAGTACATGGCCCGGCGCCGGCGGGGGTGGGATTGAGGCATCGCGATGTCGCATGCCGACGCCACAATGCTCACTATTTCCCCAGACCCATCCGCGGGGCTGGGGTCCCCATCCCACTCACCTGGCCCCACGTCTAGGTGCCAGGTGGCCGCAAGGAGGGCCGCCCGAAACCTGTCCGAATCTAGTTGATTAAGAGCCCATCTTTTGGGGAGGGGAAAGTTCCCCTCCCTTGGGCAGCGGGCCAGCACCTGTGCGGGTTTGGGGAGGCGAAAGGCCCACGCTATATGTCTATGATCAGACAGCTATTCGCCCTCCGCGTCCACCCTCCATTCGTGGAACATCCCCGCGGCCGAGGGGGTGGCCCAGGTCAAATCTATGACCGAACTCCCCCCGGCCGCACACAGGTGCTGGTTGAGCCCCTGTTCATTAACAGGAGGCCCAGCCCCGCTGCCCAGCCGATCACGGATTCGGCCTGAGGATCCCTTTGCCGGGGACTGCAACCCCACCCTTCCGAATGGGCGTTGAAGTCTTCGGCAATCACGACAGGTCAGGGATGGCACCTACGTATCAATTCCCCGATCCTGTCGAGGACCCTCTTCACTGGGGCGAGCTCCCCGAGACCGGCCTTATTCCTGCGGTAGGGGAGATACACCCCCACCACAGTAATGGGCCCCTAATCGACCGCCACGTACGAGGACCCGTTCTCCCTAAAAGTACAGGGAGGGGTCCCCGCCGCAGGGTTCGCCACCATGGCCACCGAGCCGTCCAAGCTGCCGAACCAGTTCGGACCTGGTACCGGCACCCAGTACGGCCCGGCGTCCAGCTCAGCCATTTTCTGCAAGAAGAGATCCTGAGCCCGAGCGCCGTGGCCGAGGTTGGCCTGTAGGGCACGGAGTAGCGTGAAGGCTAAGCCTTTCACGCCTCCTCCGGGCTGCCTACTTCAACCCCCTCCTCGTGGGAGACTTCCGACGGCTCTGCCGTCTCGGTCTCCCCGGAGGGGGTTTTCGGCTGTGGTGGCCTCCAAAGCGGGTGTCTCCGCGGAGATATGGGGGGTCTCTACCTGCGTGGTCTCCTCCTCTGGGGGGTACGAGGAGGAACCATCCTGTAGGGGAGTCGGTGGGAGCGCTCCCACCGACTCCCCTTCTTTTACTGCTGTTAGGGGTGTGCCCAAGGGCTCCACCCTCCTCACCTTAGATGTCCATCCTTCAGGTCGTCTTCTTCCCTGTGGACCTCTTCCTCTTCCCCTCTTCTCTTCCTTCTGGGTTGAGGTGTCGGCTCCTGGGCGGTCTCCGTTTCCCAGTCCGAATCGATTAGGTTGCCTATGAGATCCCCATTTTCCTCCTGGGTTCTTGCCTGTGAGGGGGCCGGAACCACTCCAGCTCCTTCCTTCGGTGGGGGGAGGCCCGTTTCCTCCTCTCCTTAGGCTTGATCGGGTCCGGTCACCCTCCGGCGGTGGTGGTCCGGGCCCCCCCCCCGCCAGTGGTTTCCTTCCCCTTTTGCCTCTCTCCTTCCTTTTTCCTTCCCCCCTTTTCCCCCCGGGAGGGGGTTTGCAGGCAGGCCCTCCGATCTTAAGGCCGGAGGGCCTGCCCGTCTCGGCGCACACCGGGCAGCGCACCGCCGCCACGCATCCCTTGGGGCGGTGGCCGGGGTTACCGCAGCGGTAACACATATCGCTGCTGTCGACGGCGCTCATGCACCGCTCGCGCACGCGCCCCCGTTCCAAATAGCGGAAGCACAGCGTTGCGCGAGCGGGCAGCGCCGTCACCCCGGCGCGGGTCCAACCAATTGGGATCCGCTCCTCGGCGGCAACCTTAGCGGCTGCCGCCAGCGGACACCGCACCACCATTGCTCCGGTCCCCCGCTGGGAGACGCTCATCACACCCGAGGAAACCTCGGGTATGCATCCCCCAGCGAGGGCCACCGTGGCCGCCACCTTCTCGGCTCCGGTCGTCGCGTCCAGGCCGCTATCCATAATGCTGCGAATTTTGCCGGTCGTTGGACGCGATAACCGGGGCCTTTTTCCGCTGCCAGCTTGCGGAGCTCCTCCGCAAGCCGGTCAGCGGACGCCCCGACGTTGAGGCCAGGCACCTCTACTAACATGGCCTCATTCAGGGCCCGGCGGACCCTCAGGGACGCATTGATCCTGAGGTCCGCCGGTCTGATTCGGCGCCTGGCCTCAATCATGAAATCTTCATATTTCCCGTCGGGGCACGTGATTGTGACGGCCGCCGAGTGCGGAGGTCTCGGCTTGTTCTGCCCAGCCTTTGGTGCCCCCCTCCCGGGTCTGTTCTATCCTGGGAGGGTGGAGGAGCTCCCCTTCTTCTTTTCCTCCACTTTCCCTTGCCTCACCTTTCTCCCCACTTGGGACCACGTTGCGTTTTCCCTTTCCAGCACTGGTTCCCTTTGTGTGGGTCCCCGGATCGCCTTCAAAAGGTCCCTCGCCGGCGTCCCTTTTCCTCCTTCCTGGGTTCTTCTCCCTTCCTCCTCCTTCATCCTTCTATCCCTTTCCTTCCGCCTCTTCTTTTGTTCTTTTCTTCTTTCCTTCTTGCCCTTGCTCTTCGTCTTCTTAGGCTCTACCGGTGTTTGCGGGGCCTGGCCTTTCTTCTCAGGGACCTCCTGTTTCCTTTTTCCTCCTTCCCTTATTTCCTCCGGTGTGGTAGGTGCTGCAGCTTCCGCTGCCACCGCCGCCCGGCCCGTTCCGCTCGCAGCCTTTAGGGAGTTTAGCTCGGCCCGTATATGGTCGAGCTCCTCCCTGAGGCTGCAAGCCGGAGCCGCGGCGGCCATAACAACGTTCAGCTCTTCCTCCGCTCCCTTTGTTCTACAGCTAAGGGGGGTGGGTCCTCTGGAGTGTTGTCATCGTAGGTGGGTATTTCCCTCGTCGACTTCCCTCCTTCAGTTTCCCTCCCCTTGGCTAGAGAAGGTGGAAGAGAAGGGAACGTTTCCCTCCTCCTCTTCTTCCTCCTCCACTTCGCTGTAGCTTCCCTCTTGCTCCTTTTCTCCTCCTCCTCCGTAGTCGTAGACGCGGTTGTAGAGCTTCCTGCCACTTCTGCGTACGACAGTTTCCTGCCCCTGGCAGTGCCCTTGGCGTGTAAAGGGAGAGGGAGCAGGGGCGGAGAGAGCAGAGGCCTTCGCGGCCTCCAACTCCTCTGCCAGCCTCCTGTTCTCGACCTTTAGTTTCTTCAACTCCTTGCGGAGTTCCTCTTCTTCCTGCTTCGTTTCAGAAGCTGCCTCCCCCCTGCTGTCCATTTCGGCTGTTCTAGCCAGCAGGGTGGCCATTACGGCCTCGGAGGTGGCCACGGCACGGTTCAGCAGTCCCACAAAGGTACCCTTCAGGGTGCGGGACCTTCGCGAGACCAGCCGAGCCGCGTCTAATGCACGGCCCACCTCCGAGGCCAGTTCTGGTACTCTTGCCTCTCTCAGGAGGTTGATCGTCGCGTTATCGCGAAACACCTCCTCGACCGGGTGCCTATCTTCCAGGGATCGGAACATCCCCGTGTCGAGGAGGATTTTTATCTCTTCCTCCAGCCTCCTGCTGTCCTCCTCTTTCTTTCTTTCTATCTCCATTTCTCTTTTCTTCTTTACTCCCACTCTCTTCCCCGTCGTGGGGAGCCTATCCGGCCCCTTCCTCGCCGGTTCGAGAGCCAGAGTGTCCGCACCCGACGAGCTGCCACTGGTGGCTGCCCTGGTCCTTTTCCTCCCTACTCCGAGGTCCCTGGTGCTTCCTGCCCCCAGCATTGGCTCCAACGTGGTCCTCCCAGGGCCTTGGACCTGGATCCTGGAACTTTGCGACAATAAAATGTCGTAGCGGATCACAGGACCTCCTGTGGTCCGCCCGACGCTACCGCCGCCTCTACCCCGTCGGTCCCCTCATGTGCCACCCCTCGGTCCCCCTATATCCCTTTGGTGTTGCTGGGGGAGGTTTCCCCTTGGCTCCTTCTTGGAGCTCAGTGGGCCCGGCTTTTTGGTCCCTGGTACCGGGATTTTACTCCTGGACACCAGGATCATGTTCATCCCTCGCTGGGTGGCCGCCCGCGTCTGCCTGCCCGACGGGCTCACCACGCCATCCCCGCGGTCAGGGAGGCGCTGGGTTGAGGACGGTGGTCGGTCCTCGAGTATTAGCGACCCTCCAGGGGCTAGCCCTCTGGAGTCCACTTGTTCAACCTCCTCGGGGGGAGGGGAGGAGGCATCCGCCTGGCGGATTCTCTCCACCTCTGTTAAACCCCCGTCCCTTCTGAAAAATCACCCGCAATGGGTGGTCGGTCCATGGACGGGCTGCTACGCCCGTCCGTTAGGACCGTCGAGCCCGAAGGCCCTGAGCCCGAAAGCTCGGAGTTTTTGTTTTTAAATTTTCGAGAATCCATTTTTGGTCCCACGAGCACGGCGGGAAATGGGCGTCGACCCCGGGTAGAGCCCCCGCATTACCCGGGGTAAGGCTAGCATGTCCCCTGGGTTCGCCAGGTGCCCAGGGTGAGGAACCACTTACGACAGGTCACGCACCTGCCATTCATCCCATAAGCGTGGCATGCCTGAACCGTAGGATTACGTAGTGTTTTATAGAGGATCCGCCTCGCGGTCTGGCCAATTAAGGCAAGACCCCCGGCCCCAGAGACATGACCTAGGGTTACGGTGTGGTAGGCTAGGGTCTGCACTCTGTACCAGAATGCCGAAGCACCCTGGCCCCTCGCAATCGTGTCAGGTTATACGTCCTGACAAGTACGGGTTTGCAATCAGGGTTTTCCTTCCCCTAGAACGGTTGCCTTCACCTGGCTCACGAGCCCGTTCTGCCCGCGCTGTAGGGTCCTTTGGATCGTACGAGTACGGTCCTCCGGCCCCTATATGAAACTCGGAGGCAGCCCCTCCGAGAGTGAATAAGGACGCTCTTAGTCTGGCCTCTCAGTACAGATCTCTCCGGCATGGTAGAACCTGCCAGGGGTCGAAACCCCCGCCGGCACAGCTCTGTACTTCATTAAGGCACACAAGTCCCCCCACCACGTCAAGGTGGCGCCCACGGGGGGGTCCACCAACCGTCCTCTGCAACAAATTTGCAAGAGACTTTTAGAACACCAAAATACTGAAGTCTTGTGGTAAGTCAATGGCTCGAGGTTTGCTTCAAGAGCATCATAGAGGTCCCACTGCCAACTTAAACAATGTGCAAAGTCAATTTCATGTTTATGAAAGTGAAAATTTGATTTTGAAAGATAGAAAACCAGACAATTGTGTACGTCTTAGAAATGGACATCATGCGCTAATTCGTAACATACTACTCTGTAATAATAATGATGTCAAGATAGTTGTACAAACATTTCAGTCATATGGTGATTTATATTCTTATCCCATTGAGTCGTGTAAACTTGAAGTGCATGAGGTCTGGGATTTGTTAGAACATATAGAGGTTTACATGTTATCAGATGTATGTTACAAATGTGTATTTCTACCAAATCAGACTAGGAACGTAGTATTTCCTCTTCTCCATTTATTCTAGGTATTGAAAGCTAACCTAATAGTAAATTTTTCTTTTAGTTGTCGCTTTTTTTCTTGAATCATAGATTGAATATATTATATCTTTCCAATATTTCTTATTTTATTAAAACTTTCTTAATATATATTATTTTGTATTATATTTTGCAGCAAATGTTTTGTGTCATGGATTTCCTACAGTGGTTTTATGAAGATGATAAAAATACTGGTGCAGAGTCTATGAGAGAGACTGCCATAGTACCAGAAATTTGGCTAACTCCACAGAAAGGAAGGAGTTATTGGCCGCCTCAATTTAAAGATAGCATGCTGAAAATGCCAGTTAATTCATCATGGCCTAAGTATGAAGTAGAAATTAGGGGCACATATGGTATTTATTAATAAAATTTTTGAAGTTTATTATATTTTATCATTTGGTTTTATCTACAAAAGTTTTTTTTAATTAGATTCTTATCGAAATGCCAGAATGAAGCTTTCAAGAGCAGTCGAGACTGATAATTTTGAATCAGCTCCTGAATCACACGGAAGGAACAAACGTAAGAAAAAAGTACCCAAGCGTTTGGACGATTCAAGTTCAGAAAGTGATACGCGATGCCTTGTATCATCTCCTCCCAAAATCTACCAGAAGGAAAACAAGAAAAAAGTAAAAAATTCAATCAGTATGGATTCTTGGTCAAAGCAGAAATGTAATAAATCTGTAGAAAAGCCGTTTGTTTTATAAAACATTTCATGTAATTCGATGCCTTTGAAAACATCTGCAAAACCAAATTTTTTTATGAGCAAAATGAAAGACAAACAGTGTGACATATCTAACGACTCTACACCATCTATTGGAATTAAATCTTCAACTGTGGTATCTCAAATGAATCATCCTCGTCATGATTTCGACGATGCAAATTATAAAAGACTTTCTCCGATACTTTCCAAAACTGATAATATGGAATATTTAGATTCCAATTTATTAATTACCCCTTATGTAAAAAGAAATCGCCAAGTGTGTGAATCACAGTTAAAAAATTATACGGAGAAAAATAGTCAAGTCAATGAATCACTCCCAAAGGATGCAGCCAGATTTTCTCCTTTCAAAAGTTCATCTAGTCATCACATCTCTTCACCAGGTCATCTTTCTGTCTCGTCAAATAATGTGAAAAGTAATTTTAAATACAGTTATTATTCTTGGCGATTTTTCTTTATTTTATTTTTTATTATTTATTTTTCATAATTGCTTTTATTCTTTATCTTCCCACAGTTACAACCACTGAAAGAATCCAAGACAATTCTTATCATCTTCAAAGTCTCAGTTGCCAACAATCATATCTGTTTAATGGTATGAGTTGTCAGTGTTAATTACTTTTATTTTTATTGATACTTTTTTTGTATTCTAGTGTTTACTTGTAATATATTGTAAACCATGTGAACAAAACTTTTTTGTTTTTATAGGAGTGAAGAGATCTTTGCAGGAAATTATTAAGAACCAACAAGAAATAAAAGCCAAATTAAGAAATCATGACACAATGCTAGAGAATGTCTTGATGCTTGTAGCAAATGATTCTGAGCAATTAACAAAGCCATAAGGATGGCCAGACATTTTCCCTTTACCTAATATTGAGGCATTTTTAAAGTTTGAGTCTTTCTGGAGAAAAAGAACAATTTTTCCTTCACTGTATTTTCCTTACATCCCCTTTTTATTATGATTTTATTAATTTTCATCGTGTATATCAATAATGTATATCAATAATGTATATAAACATGTTTATACATTGCAGATAAAATATCTTACATTAAAATGCTACAGTCCTAATTCATGTGAGGAAATGACAAGGAATATATGCCGTTATATATTTTCTACAGATTTAAAGAAGAAGTTTTACTGGCGGGGAATCTCCATAAAGAATGGACTCAAAACAAAAAAAACTGGATCACTTATAACGGTACATGCTTGTGAACTATGTTCAGAACAATAAATTCTTCAAAGTTCGTGGCTATGAAATTCAGGTTTACTTCTTATTTGTATTCAGATACTGTTCTTCTCAAATATACATCATCAGGATTGCATATTGTAACAAAAACAATTAGTACATGGTTGAGGAACAATATTGGGTCAAAGGAGCAAAATAGTGGAGAACAGAATGAAGAAGAAAATGAAAATGAATACAGTGATGATTGATTTTGAGACGATTCTGAACATTGAAATTATAATATTTTTAGTTATGTTTGTTGTTCCAATTTATTTTTATTTTAATTAATGACATTCCAAAGTTGTTGCTTTTATGTTATAATTAATGAAATATTCAGTAAATACTAACTGTCAGTGTTTCGTATGGAAGAAGCGAGTGCGTGAACTCTGTGTATAAAAACTGTGTATAAAAACAAACTCTCGAGATAATCTAAATTTCACGTTCCTGGAAATTTCTCGAGAGGATGCCTTGATTTGCAAGAAACTTCCAAATAGTGCTAATATCGACGCTTCGATGTCACATTCCGAGTTATTGTTGTTCCATTTCTTATGAACAGGTAACAATGTAAACTAGTTGTCCGAGCCTAGCTCGTGTAAATTCGTCAAAACAACAATACCAATGCTGATTAGAATACTGATTAAAAACTCGAGCACAAGACATTGTTTCCTTTCATGTGACATCGAAGGATGGTCGTATTCGTTACTCTTCAAGTTTGAACGTGACTCCAGATTAAACCAATCCCGCTCGAACACGGTTGATTTTTCGCGAACTATAAATATTAAGGCGATCCGAAGAGACATCGTCAATTCTTTACACAAGTCCGGTACACCGCAGCGCTAAATTAGGTGTCTCCCACTCTCTATACGAGTTCTCGCAAGAGACACATCTTTTTTGTTGATTATTAAACGAGCTGTTTTTAAGAAAACAAATCTAGTGATTTGAAACACCTGTATCGTATCCAAACGCATTTTTATCGCAACTCTCTGTCGCATGGGAATCAGCGACATTTTATTGCACGTGTCTAACGTTCACCACTTTGCAACCGATCAACGAAGAGCTTCTGTTTCAACGCAATGAAGAAGCCCATTACCATCATTACATTCGAGGCAAGAAGGTAACGTCTGATACAGTCAGTAAGATAATATCAATATGTTTTCCAGCAAACACCAAGTAACAATAACATAACTGTTAGTTACAATTTTCCATTTAACAATATCAATATAACGTATGTATTATGTAGAAATATATTGTTGAATGGGAAATTATAACTAACAGTTATTGTTACTGTTACTTGTGTTTGCTGAGTTAATAATTTCCCACTCAATAATGAAACTGTCATATATAACTTACATTAAATTGCATAATTATATATAACATACATTAACTTGCATTTACATTGTTGAGTGGAAAATAGTATTGATATTATGCTAGTTGGTATTTATTAGGTAGTTACTAGTATACTAAAAATTTTTTTTAGTATAAAACATTTCATGCAAGTTTTTCAGTTTTCTTTTAATTTTAATTCTCTGGCGGGCATGTCTCAGAATTGAATGCTGCAGTTTTAGTTAGTTTCAAAAAGTCCAGTTCTTAAAAGTTGTATATACTATTTCTGAATAAAAAAATCAGTTCTTTTTATTTTGAAAAATGATTTGAACATATTAATCTCACTTTTAATATATTGTAATATTAGTCCATTTAAACTCATTCATACGTTAATATTGAAAATGCAATATTGAATGCTGCTTGCGTCCGCCGAAAGATTAAACATTTGTCAATTTTATATACTTTCAGATAGTCAGGATTTTAATTTTGTGAATATTTTAGAAGATAGTTTTTCAGTTATTACCAAAAATTACGTTATTGTTTTAATTATATTGGTTTTGTTTTTATAAACTAGTGATTTATATCCAGCTTTAGGTTATTTAGCTAGTCTTCATAAATATAATTGACGCTTCATAGTGAGATATAGTTGTGCAAATTTTAATACTAATTAATACTGATTAATTATAATTATATATATACTGATTAATTATAATATTTTCGGAATTGATTGACATAATAAATGATATTAGGTGCGCAACTAAGTTCTCGCTGTTTTTTTGATGAAAATGCAACTTTATTGTGAAAAAATGGTTACAAATGAATCATTCAAAATATTGCCCATCGCTAGCGACAACTTTTTCCCATCTTTCTGGCAGAGTTCGAATACCGTCACGGTAGAAGTGTTCGTCTTTTGAGGCTATCCACGAATCAAGCCATTTTGAGATGTCTTCACATGAGCAGAACTGCTGATTAGCCAGACCATATGCCATAGAACGGAACAAGTAATAATCGGACGGCGCAATATCTGGGGAATATGGCGGGTGGGGTAGGACTTCCCATTTGAGTGTTTCTAAGTAGGTTTTAACGGGTTTGGCAACGTGAGGCCGAGCGTTGTCATGCTGTAGAATCACTTTTTCGTGCCTCTGCTCGTATTTTCGCGCAGTGCTCGGCTCAATCGCATCAATTGAGTTCGATACCGTTCCCCAGTGATGGTTTCGTTCGGTTTCAACAGCTCATAATAAATAACACCGCCCTGGTCCCACCAAATACACAGCAAAACCTTCGCAGCGTGAATATTCGGCCGAGCCGACGACGTAGAAGCATGACCGGGCAGTCCCCATGATTTTGTTCTCTTTGAGTTGCTGTAATGAATCCATTTTTCATCACCCGTAACGATGCGATGAAGAAAACCCTTCCTTTTTTGCCGCTGGAGCAGTTATTCACAGGCGAAAAACGACGCTCAACGTCTCTTGGCTTCAAATCATAAGGAACTCAAGTTCCTTGTTTTTGAATCATTCCCAACGCATGCAATCGCTTGGAAATGGCTTGGCGGGTAACTCCTAATGCTGAAGCAAGCTCTTTTTGCGTTTGGCACGGATCCTCATCGAGCAATGCCTCCAATTCAGCGTCTTCGAAGGTTTTTGGCCTTCCTTCACGCGAACGGTCGTCAACATCGAAATCACCGTCTTTGAAGCGACGGAACCAATCACGGAACGTTGTTTCACTTAGAGCAGCATCTCCGTAAACTTTTTGGAATTCTCGATGCGCTTTAGCCGCCGTTTTCTTCGAATGAAAGAAGAAAAGCAACACTTCCCGCAAATGACGATTATTTGGCACAAAATCAGACATTTTCACACAACCAAAAGTATATGACGCAAAAACAAAATCACTAATGTGTCAAAGCGGTTTGTTTACCATATGTCTAAGCTTGGTTCATGACGTTTTGTTTATGTCACTTTCGACCAGCACTTACTACTGGAGCCATCTCTTGAAAAATAGCGGGAACTTAGTTGCGCACCTAATATATACGTATGTCTGCAATCATATAACAACAAATTCATATGTAACAGAACATATATTTATTTAAAATAAAAATATCACTTTTAAAGAATCTTTGTAAAACTGAAGACTACATATATAAAATTAAATTTAAGGAAATACAAACGTAAATATATAGTATAATTCTAATAACAATATTTGTTTTAGACTTATATTAACGTTGAAATATTTAAATGTAGTATGTATTAACGTCAAATAAATTTTTGAACTTCGTGAATAATCAACTTAAAAATAATAATATTGAACTATAAAAATTGAAAATGTAAGGAACATTAGATAACACAGTTTTATTATATAATTTTTAGATAATATTTAGATTAATAAAAAAGAAGTTAGCTTTAGCAGTATGTACGAGTGTGTTTGTGTCTGTATATGTAGAGAGAATATATGTGTGTCTAAGAACGAAAAATAGTGCCAATGAAAAATATCGAAAAAGTAAAAAAATAAAGAAATCAATAGCAAAGGAATATAAAGAAATTATATTAATATTAATGTACTTAATTGTCATTAGTTGTCTCGATAATATCTTCTCGTATGGTTGTGTTTCTGTTAGACCTGAAAGAAATATTGGCATTAATTAAAAACTCGTGATCGCGAAAAGATCTTGCAACATATTTAGCTTGAAAAGAATGCGTAAGAAATAATAGGTAAATAGCAAAATCATCTAACAAAAATATCCAAAACACTTTTTGGATATTTTTGGTACGTAAAAATAAAAAAAACAAAACTTACAGAAAGTAATAAAAAAGAAAAGAATTGTAATAAAAAAGAAAAGAAATTAGTGGACTTACTCTCTAACATATCTCATAGGTGCATGTCTCAGCCATGCCTTCATATGTTCTATTATATCTTTTCTTGTGGTTGTGTGGTTCAAATGGACAACTTTTATAAGAATGCTTGACAGACGAAGAGTACATAACTTCTTTTTCTTTTTAAGACCAAACCAAGAAAATCGTGCTGCTAAATCATTAGTAAATACTTCTTTCATCAAATTATGAACTGTGTCCTTGACATTGCGGCCTCCTATTTTTCTCAGCTGCTCTATCTACATTTAAAAATATAAAAATGGTAATTTCTTATTATTATTATCTTATACAAAAGTATTGGAATAATTAAATATAAAAAATTATTCAATTATTTAAAAAACCGCATTTTTTACATTATTTTTACCTGTAATAAATAAAAATAACGATCCAATGTACAATATGTGTTCTGTAATTGTAGCTTGTACTAGAG